AACCCAGGCCCATGGCGTTCTTTCTATGATCGTGGAGGCACAAGGGAACCACTGTAGTTTATTGAGTGGGATGGTGGTAGTAGGGAGGGAGATGATAAGACACGGTCAGATCCATGTGCAGCAATATCTCAACAACAGGCCGAACTACAAAAAGTCAGGCTTTTTGCAAGGCACTGAATCCAGCTCTCTGCATGTTTTCTCCCTGCCACTGCCGTTTTAATACTGAGGTGACAGCAAATAAGTACCCTTGTTCCTGTACCCAGGGCAATCTGTGCCACATTCTGTAGGCTCTTCTAAGGATGGGCGTGTTGGGCATGAGCAATGCTGAGGGCCCCTAGAGCGGCAAAGCAAGTGCTGCATCTCCATTTCTTCCTCTTCACTATTAAAATCTAAGGTTCTTTTAAAAGAACTCTCACATGCCACTTCACATACGCACACATGCATATATACCTTTCTAAGTATAACACGTGCCAATCACCATGCTAAAAGATGAAGAGGCAAATTAAGAAAAAGAGAGCTGTGGCCCTCCAAGAAGTCACCCTCTAATTGAGGAAGACAACACACAGAAGACGGCTCAACTAGATGGCTGATGGAAAGACTGGAAAGTGGCAGCGGTGTCTGTGGTGCATATTGGAGGCTCAGGAAGAAGTATCTTGGAATCTAGAGGGTGTATTCACAGGGAAGATGGTAAAGCCTGAAGGACCTTAGGATACAGTGGCAGATTATATGATAAGGCATGGTGGTCCTCTGTCTCACTAGATGGATTGTAATTGTAGATATTCACTCATTCATGTTGTGACAATAGCCATGTGACTCTTTGCACCTACCTCCTACTCCCAAGAGAGCTACAGTCAGGGTCAGAGGAAAGAAAAGGACAATGTTAGAGGTCCTCCCTGCTTGGCCAGTCTAATGGAACCTGGGAGGTTCAAGGGATTGGGGAAAGGAAATTATCACGTGCCTACTATGTGCAATGTCCTGTGGTAGGCACTAGCTTAGCAGGGGTTCTAACAGACGTGGAAGGAGAGCAGGAAAGTAAGAATGTAAGGTAGCTGAAGGATCTGTGATTTCTTCATCTTGAAAAACTTCCTCCAGTGATGCAAACTGCAACTTGTCTATGACTTGGGGAATTGCCTGAGGTACATGGAGGTTGAGTGACTTGTCCAGAGTAACCTAGAAATGCTTCTGTTTATACATGTCTTTCGCTTGCTTTAGGGAAAAGAAGCAGCAGAAATACTGCTCCTAACACAGACTTAACGTACTTAACAATAAACAGAGTGTATTTAACTCTTCCTGGAGGCCCAGAAGTTCTTGAGTCACAATGTCTATCATATTTGAGAAAATCTTAAAAGACTAATAAAGGGTGGCAGTGAGCATGTTGACAGTGCTGATATCAAATTTATTATTTTGGTTTTCATTTGTATTCTTGATCCTTTCTTCTAACTGAAGAAAATACTTCCAAAACTTTCCTTTAATTTCTCTTATTTGCCACCAAGCGGAAAATATGTTACACATCCATCTTGAGTGTTTCTGGGTAACCGTGACTCCGAGGTCAATGACTAGTTGAATTTAAATAACCAGAAGGAATAAAATAATGTATTAGATAAAGAAGTTCATCTAAATTCCCACGTCTAATTCTGCCACGATTTATGACTTTAAAAGGCTTTGGCATACATGTCTGTCTGGACTCTTCCGTTAACCACAGACTGGGTAAAAACATGGAGGCTCTTGAGCTACTTCAGATTTGTGAGGGCAGTCCACTGGCCCAAGAAAGCTTGGCAGCTGCATCTGAATTCACAAAGCATTCTCCTTGTTAAGGAAGCCACCACCTGTGCATCCTTCTTTCAAAGCAAAAGCAATCTTCCTAAGCGAAGGTCAAATCAGCATGACAAATATGGCACCTCTTGGATCTCTATCACGCCAGGCGAGAGCAACTTGCTCACTTGAAATATAGCTAATCCGTCTTGCAGAGGCCAGAATTTAAAAGCAGGCAAGCATGGCAGGGAGAAATTATAAATACATTTGAAATTTTTACGGCTCGTTTTACCCACCAGGGGTTGCTGTGATTTTTAGGATAATTTTAAATGAGACAGCAGGTTAGAAAATGAAATATTAGCAAAGAGGGGTTAACAAAGGGATGACAGAGGATTCCTCTCTACCCACAAAGAGGAAGTAACAGCCACATAGAAACACATTCATGCACAAATGTGCACACACACACACACACACACACACACACTCCTATGAAAAATCATCTGTTCTTCCTCTTTAAATATTCAAAAATCTCCTGTATTAAAGCCCTTAAATTTAAAGATAAAAATGCTTTCTAAAAATAAAAATAAAGGTAGGGAAGAAATCAAGGAACTATAAAAGGGGTTAGAGATGGAAGGAGAGAGATTGATTTGTACCATCAGAAAGGAGTGAAAAAATGACAGGTATCAAAGAAAGAAAGAACTAGACATATCCCTCACAGACTAGACTACACCAGATCACTGATGAAGTAGTACAGAGGTTTTCCCTTCAAGTGGAGAAACCAGACACATCAGTTCCACCTTACAATTCTATTACTGATACTCTTTTCCCATTAACCACTACCCAAATGCTCTCTCTGAGCATGAGTCACCACCAATCAGCCAGCCAGAGTATATGACAATGAAAGCATCTTTAGATTCAGGGCAAGTCACTTTAGGTAAAAGGGTTATTTGGAAATAGCTAACCTTTTAATTCATCTTAGGTGTTTTGCCAAGCAATCTTCCTCTAATGGAGACAGGGCTAGTTAAATATGTTGTGTGGTCCTCAACTGATTGGTTGAGTCAGTAAGAGGGGAATATCAAAGCAGGAAATGTACTAGCTCAGCATACTTCAGTTAGGTCCCGAGTCAGGAAAACGTCCAGGAAATGGAGGCTAACGGCTGGGGAATGATGGAAAGTCACATCAGAGACACAGACTTTTTCTGGAACTTCCTGTATGACTGCTGACAGCATTCCCTTGGTCACGAAAGTTAAGATTTTACAAGAAGTTAGCAATAACAAGAATGTGAAGGATATTTAAATGTCAGAAAATATGCAACACGTGGATTACAGATGAGAATATGGTACTAAGGGTATACTAACAGACGACAACAACAACAACCAAAAACCAAAATAAAACTGCTTTACAAAAGGCAGAGGGCAGTACCTGAGAGCAGGAAAACAATGAACACAATTTGTTTTCTTCAAAAGAGATGGGACAAGACAAAAGGAGGAAGTGCTGTCCTTCCTTCATCCTGCCAGACTCTCATTGGAAAGTCAAGTGTGCACATCAATCATGATAAGGGAGAAGAGACCAAAGTGATACCTTTTTGTCTTCTTTTTAAAGGAAACACAAAGATGTATCACATAGCACCCTATTCATTATTATCCTTTCAAATAAAACTGTGTACATCTACCACAACAAAGTGTATTTTCCACGAAGAGGTATGCCAAACATGACCTGTGCTTTTCAAACATCAGCACTTAGAAAAGAGATTCTAGCTAGAAACAATAACATAATTCCATATTTCCAGAAACAAAGGTTCTGGGTTCATAGTATCAAATGTTTGTAAAAATCAAAGTCCTTGACTTTGTCATGGTTACAAAAAATACTCATCACAAAATACAGTTAGATAGTTATTGCTTTTCTGAATGATTAGGACTCAAATCTATTTGCTTTAGAGCAAAATGATAAAGAATAGTCACAGTACATCTTCAATATTTTATGTGAAACTACAAAAAAGCGATGGAAATGCCTTTTTTATGCTAAGCTTCATATTTGCATAATTAATTTTATATATTTATATTATATTAATTTTATATATTTCTTGGTGAGCTAGGCCTATGATGTCATTTGTGAGAAAGAAATAAAATTCCACCAAAATTCAAATAACAGATAAAATTATATACATATATATCATATATATATTTATATATATATACCTATGATACACATATATATTTATCAATCTTGGATCATGATGTTGGAAGGAATCTTACAGGTAATCTCTCCCTCTCATCCTTTCTACAATACATCTGTTCAATGCCATATGGTCCCAGTTTGAACAGTTTTAGGTGTGGGTAGCACAACACTGTTGAAAAGGTCTACTTGTTAGAAAGTTTTCTAAGACTGAGTCAAAATCTGACTACCTATAAATTCTACCCATTGGTCCTACTTTTGACATCAGTAACAGTGAAAATTTTTAGATCTCTTTCCTCTTACCCGTGACAAGTTTTCAAATACTAAAAGTCAATTATCAAGTTTCCCATTCTTTTTATGGGCTGGACATCTTCAGTATCATCATGTGACAGTTTCCAGAAACATACCTCACTCTCATGCCATTGTTCATCTAGACATTCTCTAGTTTACCAGGAATCCTCATAAAGTTGAGTCAGTAGTTGGCCAATGTAGATTTGGAAGAGATCATTTTCTTTCTCCGTTGATATATACTCTATACTTTTGTTTATGCAACTAAAGTCGGTTTAATTCTTAATACTTGCCTCTCATACTATTGGCTCAAAATGAGTTTGTGGTCAGCTAAAACCATTAGGCCTCTCCATAAACTACTTCCAAGGCTACTCCTCTGCTTATGCATCTGATTATTTGAACCTTGAAGTTCGATTCTATCTTTAGCTCTGTTAAATTCTGGGTTGTTGGTTTTCGCCCATTGCTCTAGTCTAGTGAACTCTCTTGGTGTCATCCGATGCTTTATTATCTGATTCTCCCCCATTTGTATCATCTGAAAATTTGGTAAGCAGGCCTCTTTTATCTAATTTTTCAAAATTTCTGATAAATCTCTTTGATAAGCTCAGAGACAAAGCCCTGTGACTAGTGCCCTTCACTACTGACTTCCTCTCCAAATTGTCATGATAGAAAACCTTATGATATTTTATATCATAAATCATTTTATATCTTTATTTCTCAATCAGTGGGAATTCAATGAAGGCTTTCAGATCTTTTCATGTGTCAGTAGACTGGAGTATGAATATTACCAGTTCTCGGGGCAGGAAGCTTTCTTCTTGACGAGCAATGACAAGAGATGCAGTTTCTCCTTGTTTAGTGCTTCTCAGCATGGCTACAAGTTCTTCCTGAGTCCGACCAGTAATGTCTCTGCCATTCACCTAATGAATGAATGCAGTTAGATGAAAAGCAGCTATTAAAATACCTGCCACCATGGCCCTCTCTGGAAGTGTGATGAAACCTAGGGACCCCTTTTTATAATAATGTGTTTAAATGCACAAAATAAAACATATGAGATTACAAAGGAAATCAATTACATTGAAGTACAATCATTAAATTTTTTTTTTAAAAAAACAAGTTCACCTAGGCAAAGAAACCCTTTCCAAAAAGTACCCTCCCTCTCCCACCTTCCACTCCTAGCCACTCCTTAAGAAAAAGCAGCAAAACACTGAGACATATTGGGCTTGCAAAGAAAGACAAATAAAAAATGAATCAGCTAGAAACAGATTTCACAAAATACTCACATGATTACCATGCATTGTTATGATATATGTCATTATGGAAAACAAATCAAACTATCATACTACCAAAGTACGGTCTTCCAACAAGTAGGAGCAGATTTCAAATGCCCTGCAGGCATTTTCTTATGTAATTATGGCAATGAGCAGCCATGAGTTACCATAATACTAGAAATGAATAGTCACCCTTCTCTAGAACGGATTTGCTCTACGTTCTGGCCAGTGGGTAACCTACTCAGGTGCTATTGTTTCCATAAAATCTAAATTACTTCTCTTTGGAGGAGGCCATCCTTACTTCCCCAATCTTTCATTCTTTTGACATCTTGTATTCACTTTTATCTTAATTCTGGACATTACAGTTATTTATTTATGTGTCTTTGTACTAACACTCTACTAGTCTGTGAGTTACTTGAGGGCAGGGATTGGGTAATTTTTTTTTTTACCTTTGTACCCTCAGTACCTAGCACAATGCTCCCCACATGGACAAGGCTTAACAAACGTTGCTTAACTGAACTATTAAATTTCATTGAACAGACTTAAGGCTTTTTCAGGTTTAGAGTCAGTGGACCACCATTTGCTAATGGAGGAGTTAATCTGTCTCCTACCTAAAACTTGCTTTGTATCCTCTCTTCTGCTTTGTATTACAGAGGAGGTCACAGGAACACCTTTAATTTACCAAAGCGGGCCAATTTTCAGCAAAGGGGGATTTTCTTTCTTAAAATGCATAATGATATACTGCAAATGGCTAGGAAAAAGTTTGGTAGCATCCAGCAGTCTTGTCCACAGCTTCCACAGCTATTCCATTTCCAGTCTAGCCCAGGTGATGCTGGTTTATACTTAAGGGTTTCACTTCTGGCACAGATCAGGCTAAGGGGATACTCAGTTTTAGCTTATTCCTACTTGAGAGAAGTCAGATGATTCTTGGGCTAAGGATTTGGATCATAGTGCCTTGAAGTTTGTGATATAACTGGATGCACCTAGAGTGAACCCAAACCCCTGGTTTGGCCTCAGTTTGACTTATCCTAATGTTAAGTTGACATTAATGGGACAGAAGAACATTGGAGAGGGAGAAAAAATGTCCTAGGACTATTTGTGTCATACTATTTGCCTTTCAAAACTGGACTGACCAGTAATTTCTGATTAGTTTTTTCAAATTTTGTTTTGTTTTGTTTTCAAATTTCATCTTTGGATTTATACTACTGGAAAATATTTTCAGAGCCAAAGGACAAAGATTTCATTTCATTGAGGGGAGTATTCTAAGTTCTAACCTCCAAAATTCTATCCCCTGATTGTAGGCGGCCATCTTTCACTGCTGCTCCTTTTGGTAAAATATTTTTCACAAAAATAGGACCAAGACCATGTATTGAGGAATCCCTGGTAACCACAGTGAAGCCAAGTCCTTCAGGACCTAAAGCAAAAACATAGGAAAACAACAACAATTATAATAAGCTTGTACATAGGCATTGAACTTAGACTTGAAATTAAGTGCTTAAAACATCATTAATTCAAATAAACAAAGGAAGGTTCAACTTGAAAATTCTGAATTATGGATCCACAGGCACCACAAACTCATTACGTCTAAAACAGAACTCCTTATCCTTTCCTCCAAACTAATTTATATATTGATATACACATACATATGCACGAATGTATATGCATATATGTATAAACACACATATGTATTCATACATGGACACATATATGTGTGTTTGTATATATGTGCGTATGCGTATATGTGTGTGTGTATGTATGTATGTATGTATGTATTCCAATAACTCAGGTTTCAACCTCAATGTTATCCTTAACTCTTTACTCTTGCTTACCCTACATATCCAACTCACTTTCAAGTTTTGTCATTTTTATCTCCATGACACCTTTCCCATATGTTCCATTCTTTTCACTCAAACAACCTCTACAGTAGTACAGGGTCTTATCACCTTTCTCCTGTACTACTGTAATAGCCTCCTCTGTGGTCTCTACCTCATCTCTCCCCACTTCAATCTAACCTCCACACAGCTGCTTAAATAATTTTCCTAAAACACAGACCTGATTGTGTCAAAAGTAATGTACTCCTCCCAACTCCTTATTCAAAACTCCACTGACTCCCTAACGCCTTTAGATTCAAATATAAATTTCTCTGGTATGTAAAGTTTGTCACAACCTGTTCCTTCTTGCCTTTCCATACTTCTTTCTTCTCTCCTCACATGGGCCCACTCACTATTCTGTATATAGGATGCTACATCTTCTATTTCTATAGCTGTGTACTATTTTAATCAACCAATCAATCAATAAGCATTTTTAATTGCCTACCACGTGCCAGGCACTGTGCTAAGTATTGAGGATACAAGAATAGTCAAAAGACAGCTCCTAACATTAAGAAGCTTATAATCTAATGGGGTGACAAAATGCAAACAGATATTTACAAAGCGAGCTATGTACAGGATAAATAAATTTTTAAAAAAGGGAATTATATTGGAATTAAGAGGAGTTGGGGAAGGCCTCCTGTAGAAGATGGGATTTTAATTGGGGCTTAAAGGAAGCCAGAGAGGTCAGTAGTCAGAGCAAAAAAAGGAAAGCATCCCAGGCATGAAGGACAGCTAGAGCAAATGCTAGGAGCAGAGACATGGAGTGTCTTGTTTGTGGAAGAACCAGAAGGCCAGTGTCACTGGATCAAGATTACATGTTGGAGAGCAGGGTGTAAGAAGACTGGAAAGGTAAGAGAGGGCTAGCTTATGATGAGCTTTGAATGCCAAACAGAGCTTTTTGTATTTGTTCATGGAAGCGATAGGAAGTCACTGAAGTACACTGAGTCATGGGGGTGACATGGTCAGACTCGTGCCTTAGAAAAATGACTTTACTAGATGAATGAAGGATGGATTGGAGTGGTGAGAGACTTGAAGCTAGAAGAACCCCTAGCCACTATTGCAACAGTTCAGGCATGAGGGGAGGAGTACCTATACCAGAGTGGAGATAGTGTCAGAGGAAGAAAGAGAGTGCATTGTTGCACAGGTGAAATCAACAGGACTTAGCAAGAGCTTGGATATGGAGGATGAGAGATAATGAGGAGTCCAGGATGACTTCTAGGATGTAAGCCTAAGGGACTGAGAGGATGATACTGCCATCCACAGTAAAATGGAAAGTGGGAGGGGTGGAGAGTTTAGGCAGATAATAAGTTATGTTTTGGACATATTAAGGTTATAATGTCTATGGATTTCCAGTTCTAGATGTCTGAAAGGCAGTTGGAGACACAACATTGGAGATCAACAGAGGGCCTGGGGCAGGAAAAGTAGATTTGAGAATCATCAGCATAGAGATGGTAATTAAAGCCATGGGAGTTGATGAGATCACCAAGTGAAGTAGTACAGAGAGAAAAGAGGGCCCAGGAGAGAAACTTGAGGAACCTACATTTAGAGGGCATGACCCAGAGGAAGATCCAGAAAAGGAGACAGAGAATAGATCGGTAGGAGGAAAACCAGGAGGGAGTGGTGTCCAAAAACTGAGAGAGAAGAGAGTGATCAACATGGAGAACGAGAATTGAGAAAAGAACATGGATTTGGCAACTAAGAGATCATTAGTGACTTTGGAGAGAGTAGCTGTGGTATGATAAGGTCAGAAGTCAGATTGTAAATGGTTAAGAAGATCATGTAAGAGGAATGAAGTTGGAGGCACTTTCAGAAGATGGCCTTTTTTGAGGGGTTTAGCTACAAAGGGCAGGAGAGACACACAACAGGACTTAAGTGGGATGGCAGGATCGGGTGAGGGTTTTTTCCAGGATGGGGAAGACATGGGCTCTTCCCATGTTTTGCAGGCTCTTCCTCCTCATCTACATCTCTTGAAATCCCTGATTGTCAACGAGACTCAGTTTAGGCACCACATGTAGTCTGTCCTGGTCTCTGCCTCTCTCCCCAAGTTGTTCATACTCTCTTTCCCAAAACTACCTTATTCTCTTTGTTTAGATGCTCTATATACAATTACATATGCGCTTGTCATCTCTCTGTTCAAATGTCAGCTCTTTGACAGCAGGAACTGTGCTCCTTTTGTCTTCATATCTCCAATATTTACAACAGTTTCTGACAGAGGAGATACTTACTGATTGATTTTCAAAATATTATGCAGGTTTTATCACTTTCAGAAAAGTGGAGTAACCTACATAATAAAATTGCTCTAGGATGGTACCTGGACCTAAGCAGTTGCCTTATTATGATGAGACTAAAGTCTGATTTCTCAGCCCCACTGAGTTTTTGTTTATCAAAAGCCTATTGGCTCTCTGCTATCCAAAATTCAATGAGAATAATTTGTACAAGAAAGCCAATTCATGCATTTATCTAAAGGAGAAATACAACTACAAGTTCTACTGGAAAAGCTGTGTCAATGTCTTCTCTTCCCAGGAAATAAGGTAAGATTATTTGGTGAATCTACTGAATCAAAGTTAAGGAAATCAGATAATGATGAAGGATAATTTCACCAAACTAAAGTACCCCAGATGTCATTGGTTTTCTCTCCTCTTTTCCCTCTCCTTATCTGCCAACCCCTCCCCCTTTTCCTTTTCTCCCCTTCTGTCTTTGTCTGTCCCCCTCCCTTTTTTTTTCTCTCTCTCTTAACTAGAATCAAATATTTATACTAGTCAATTTATTAGGGCACCATTTGTAAATATGATCCTGGAAATAGTCTGATAAAATTCTCTTTCTACATCACTATTTTTTTTTTTTTTAGTATTATTACAGTAGAAAGATTGTTGGATGCATAACTAATCAGGAGAACTGAACTTCAATTTTGGCTTGGGTATTTATTAGCTGTATAGTCACACATATGGTCATACAGTTATACCAGCAAGCCACATGACTGCTCTGAGCCTCAATATCCCCATCACTAAAACTGGCATAAGAATTACTTGCGAGTTCTACCTTGCTGAGTTATATGAATGAAGCCTTCCTAAACCTTAAAATGTTATGCAAATGAGAGCAATTATTATATTAAATGAGGACTTAGGCATGTTCTATTTTCCCTATCTTCTTAGTTTTAACATTTTTTTTTCTTCCTCCTTTCCTTAGAAAATCTAATGTTTATGTCATCCCCATAGTACCCAGCTGGCCTTAGTGCTTATGTTAATTTCTATTATAGACAATCATTTCCTGCCTGGCTTAGAATTACATTTTCTCCTTTCTAGTGCCCATTCTGGGATCCATCATATTTTGGTGTATAATGGTCATCGTTCACCTCCTACCACTAGAATTAGGCTAATGAAGTACAGCCTGGTAGAGGGAACTGTATGATTTATAATTAGCATATTGATTGTTTACATGTAAATGAGAGCTTCTGAAGTACTTTTGGATGATTTGAAGAGTTTATTTCCTTAAGTAGTTCAAACCTTTTCCCAGAAATTTTATTTATACTATTAATTTGCATGACGAACTATTCATACTGCAAAGGTAAATTTTAGGCCAGTTCTTGTATGAGTCATCAGAAATTCCTGATTAGCAGGTTCTCAATTAATATGATTTTAACGCATATAAAACTATACCAACAATAGATACATATGCTTTCTGCTCACCTGTCCTTAACTCAGCAAATATTTTGGAGTTTTGACGATCTAGCTATGGAAAATGCAAAGAGGCAGCTAACACTAATTAGGGTTTTCAACATTAAATTATTAGAAGTAATTTCTTTATAAAGTAGAGCCTTGAAAATGTGGTTCTTACTACAGAATAGACAGGCCTCAGTTACAAAAAAAACATTCATAATAAACATTTGTTCTGAATGTCAAAATCTTCTGGAGTTGAATAGGCTTATTAGAGAAGGAATATTAGAGAAAAGGCCATGGTGGGGGGGTACACTGAAGTCTTCTGAGTGGTTCAGCTACTACAGTTTTTTGTTTATCATATTTTGTCTTTTCTTTTCATTCACTTCTTTTTAATTTATTTTCTTACCATGAAATAAAATAGAAACAAGAGGCCTGCGTTTATTTATATCCTGACTTTGATCTTTAATGGGTCAGACCTAACGGTACAATCCTATTTGAAACTCAGATTTACCAGCTGTAAAATGGAAATAATAATAATAATACTTGTACTACTGACCTCACAGTGATGTAAGGAGAATTTTTTGTACACCAAACAGTATATATGAGCTATTATTACTCCAGGTCTGTGTTGTAAGTAAAATACATGGTGACAAATTTCCCAGCAAAAAGAAAAAACTAATGAAGATCTACCACTAATCTGTAACTTATTGTCCTAAAGAGTTGTCTTGGGCACTGAGCAGTTGGTAAAGTGACAAACAGCCCATATGTGTCAGTGTTGAAAATTATTATTATGCCCTATTATATAATTATTAAAAGAATATAATAAGAATACACACATGACCTAAAAAAACAAAAAGGATATGCTATTCCCATAGAGAAAGTACAGGATAATCAATGAAAGGCTTATGTGCCCTCCACTGGTATCCACTTGAGGTCAACAGACGGAAACAAAAGTTCCTAGATTATTAGGTGGGCTCCCTGTGGTGGATTTATGGGACAACAATGGGGAATAAGAAATAATAAGTTTGCCCATAAGTAAATACAAAATAAATATAGAAATAAATTCAAAACAAGATATAGAAAACAAATACAAAGTGATTTCTGGGGCATTTGAGAGCTATAATACTATCTAAGGGGAAGAAGAAAGGCTGCTGTTTTGAAGGTAGCATTTAAGCCGAGTCCTAAGTTCAAATCTGACCTCAGACACTTACTAGCTGTGTGACCCTGGACAAGTCACTTAACCCTGTCTGCCTCAGTTTCTTCATCTGTAGAATGAGGTGGAGAAGGAAATGGCAAACCAGTCCAGTATGTTTGCCAAGAAAACTCCAAATGGGGTCACAAAGCATCAGATATGATTAAAAAACAAATGAAATTTAAGCCAAGCACATCTTGTAAGGGGTTAGGGACTCCAAGAGATGGAAGTGACAAGGGAAAGCATTCCAGGTAGGGAGGTAGGAGACAGAGGCTTTACTCAGAGAAGAGCAAGAAGACCAATCTGGATGGAGTATACTATGGTAGGGAATAAAATGTATTAAGTAGAAGCTTTTGCAGATGCTTTCACACGTGAAATGAATCTCAAAGGCAATAGGAAACCACTAAAGTTGACTAGGTAGGGAAATGCCAATGATCAGAATTGTGGTTTAAGATGATCATTTGGCATCTGTAGGTGGAAGAAGGACTGGATTAGTGTCTACCATGGAAATAGTTGAAATGAGTTAAAAATTAAGAGTAGTAATATGAAACTGAAATAGAAACGGGCCCGCTAACCCAGACGTAAAGATCCTGGTGGGTTGCATATTGACTTAGAAAATCACTTATCAATGTCATCTGTGTTTTACTGTATTTTTATTTCATTAAACATTTCCCAATTACATTTTAATCTGGTTTGGACAACAGGAATGTCGTGGGCCATGTGCGACCTTGACAATTCTGAATTAGAGAAAAAGAGATTTTTAGAGATTTAATTGAAATAGGAGGCAAGGATGAGAGAATGAGTTGGAACAAATGTATAGCGTGTGGACCAAAATGACATTTTAAAAGCCTAGTGTTGTGTGAAAAATATTTGCATGACTAAATGAGCAGAATTAATGATGGTCACTACCTAAGTTATTCTAAAGGATAACTACTTTCAGTGAGTAAACTGGCATTCAAACTTTGAAAAAGGAGCAGAGGCCATTTAGAGTAGTAAAATGCTAATTCCTCAGAATCAAACAGTACTTAGCAAATGGATAGCCACCTCCAAAAGATGTGAAGCTAATTGTTAGAAAATCTAACTAATATTTATGTGTAATTGGAAAAAAAAGAAAATGTAAACAAAAATATATATATATATAATGATAACTAACTGCTTTTTAGATGGTGCTTTAAAGTATACCAAATGCTTTATGCACATTATCTTGTTTGAGCCTCACAATAACCCTGTGAGGCAGGTGCTACAGGAATTATCCCCATTTTACACATGGTGAAACTGAGGTTCTGAAACTAGAAGCTAACAGATATCAAACTGGAAGGGACCTCAGCAGTACTAGTGCAACCATTGCATTTTACAAAGGAAAAGACTGAGAACTAAAGACATTAAGAGACTGACTTGCACAAGGTCACACAGGATAAACCAATTCTTCTGATTCCAAATCCAACTTTCTTTCCATTGCACATCAAAGCATAAGTTAAGTGACTTGCTGAAGAACAAACAACTAATTAAGTACAAGAACATGAGATTTAAACCCCAATCTATCTTCCCGAGTTCAGGTATATTCATTATGCCATGATTAGTAATCATAAGTTTGTAAGATCCATTAATGTTTTGGCACAATAAGTGCTCTGTTTTTTTGTTGTTGTTCAGTCATTTCAGTCATGTCAGACTCTTCGTGACCCCATTTGGGGTTTTCTTGGCAAAGATGTTGGAGTGGTTTGTCATTTCCTTCTCCAGCTCATTTTACAGATGAGGAAACTAAGACAAACAGGGTTAAGTGACTTGCCCAGGGTCACACAGCTAGTAAGTGTCTGAGGCCAGATTTGAAGTCAGGAAGATGAGTTTTTCTAACTCCAGATCTGACACTTTGTCCACTGCCCCATTTAGCTGTTGTTCCTCCTTTGTTTTTGAAGAGGATCACTGACATCAGGATGGTGATGTCTTGACTTGGAAATGATTTGGGTTTAAGTGAGGCAGGGCTGTGCAAACTTGGCAATGTTGAGGTTTAGGGATTTAGTGGTGGCAGGACCACAAAATCATGACAAACGGGTCCTGCTTGAATGAATTTGACCCACGCCTTCTTTCAGCCAAAGACAAGGTTTTTTAAAGATCTGGTCAGACTCTTAAGGAATCTAAGCATTTGTATCGCTAATGCAAGTGGGCCAGATCTTAAGAATCTGAACCCTTGGCTAGACTCTTAAAGAATCTCAGCATTTTAATGGAGACAAGATGGGTCTTGTATACAGAAATCCCTTATATATAGGGATCTAAGAGTGGACAAATAGTTTGGGGTGACTGGAGGAGGGGCTTGGGAGAAGGGGTATCTTGATGGGAGTGGACAGTAAGCTGAGGTGACCAGAGGAGGGGTCTAGGGAGGATCTTTTTTCTTTTTTGTTTTTAGGCAGTTGGGGTTAAGTGACTTGCCCAGGGTCACACAGCTAGTAAGTGTCAAGTGTTTGGTCTGAGACTGGATTTGAACTCAGGTCCTCCTGACTTCAGGGCCGGTGCTCTATCCACTGCGCCACCTCACTGCCCCTCTAGGGAGGATCTTGATGGGCGTGACTGGGGGGTAGAATGGGATCCAGATAGGATCATGGGTGGGAAGTGGCCCCATGCCATCCAGAGGTAATAGACAACAGAGGGTTGGGCTAAATTAAAGGTAACAGAGAATTGGGAGATTGGGTGTAGGTGATATTGAAAGGTCATTTGGTAGGATTATAGCCTCAGTCAAATAGCTAGAGACTTCCTTGATCAAACAGGAGAGTTCAAGGAGAGTCTGTAGACAAATGGGACCCAAATTCTTTTTGGGGTAAGGGGCAAAGGTCTTGGCTTGGGCCTGTACCCTGTCAGCAAGACATAGGTCAGGACAACTGGCGATGGCCCCTGGTGCAGTTGGGGACCTTGGCCTTTCAAGCAAAGGTCTTTCCCAGGTCTCAGATTGTCTGAGGCAACACCCAATCAGTGATTAAAGGCTTGGTAAGAACTGAGGCACAAGATGGCCCAGTCTGCCTTCACAAAAGAATCAATCTGGGAGGGAAAGACCTTCAGTGTTTCTGGCCAGAACAGAAATATTTGCTCACTCTGAGCCAGGAGAAAGTGAGGCTTGGGCTGGGACCTATTATTGGTCTATCGGTGAGAGGCAGAGTGATTTGGGTTTAAAAGCAGGGTAAAGTAGTTCCATTTGAATCCCAATGGACTTTATCAAAGTCAGGTTTTTCAGAACTTTAGTTCAAGAAATGATAAAACTTCATGAGACAAAGGAGTTAATTGTCCTGGTGTTTTGGGAAAAAAAAGATAGAATAAATAAGTGGGGAAGAAAAAAAATATCTGGACCCCAAACCTGAAGATACTTTGTGAAGTATAAATGATCAAAATTTACATTCCTTTGGACAGAGCACCCAGATGTAGGGGTATAACTCCCCCATGGACAGAGGTAGAAGAGGCGGAAGACGAGTTGCACCTAGCTGCCGTGCTTCTGGAAAACTGAAATCACACCAATGGCTTACATGGTAACATATAATTATTTTCTCTGTTTCCCAAAATGCAAATATTATTTCCTTATTTTAAAAAACCCCAACAACCTAATCGTAGGAACAATGTGTAGAAAATTACTTAAGCACATACTTGACTCACTCTATCCTTTGATTCAAAGTAATGTAAAGGATATGAATTAACTTAGCCTCAACATGTTTATATTAAATGTCACAAGAGGATATAATACCTGTGATTCAATAATTACCTTTCTTAAGGTCAATCTTAATTTTCTTTGCATTTTTCTTGCTTCCAAACCCCATGAGGGGAGAAAGCGATGGTGATGATGGCTTTCTTCCTAGTCTTGGTACTCTGGGGCTCCTGTTCTGTTGGCTAGAAATCTGTGTGTCTGTCTCCACACTGCTTGCTCCTGTCAGGTTGACTGTTTTCGATGCTGGTTTTCCTTGGATTGGAGGGGATATCTTTGTTCTCAAAACAACATCACTGTTACCAAGACTTCCAAGAGGTGCAATGACTGACTTTTCATACTGTTCACGGTTGTTTGGTGGAAGCACTTGTAAGAGAACATTTTGAGATTTCATCGCTTGACGGAAGACATCTTGAGCCCTTGAAAGAAAATAATTTATATTTCAATACACAGCAAGCCACTTCTAAAGCTATAATTATTAGCTTAAATCATGAGAGTATAATTTATTTACTTATGATAATTATCACAATATCCTCAGAACTAGGGAATCTCAAGCAGAGGTTTTTAACCTTTTTGTTTCATGGACCTCTTGGGAAGTCTGGTGGAGTCTATGTAGCCCATCTCCCAAGAATGTTTTGAAATGTATAACATAAAATACATAGAATTACAAAAGAAATACATAATATTGAAAAAAAGTTATCAAAATATTAAGAAAACAATTTTGTGGTCCACAGGTTAAGAACACCTAATCTAGAAGTTTTTCAACTCATTAGACATCACAGCAACCTTTGATTTCCATGTAAATTCTCCTTGAGTTAATAAAAAAACTCTCATATTTTTATGCTATTTATGAATTAAGATAAAGAATGAATGAGAACAGAACTAATATATTTGCACCTATGTGTGCATTTGAGTACCTTGATACTGAAAATGGATTTTTTATCTTATTAGTGTGGGTAGTCCTTTCAACAGTGCAGGTAACACAACCCTCCACACTATGATTCTTCCACATACTTCCATAAATTTCTTCAGAGAGGATCCATACAATGTACTGTTCTTTTTGTTTATTTGTTTTCTTAACCTTCTCTAAGGTACCAAGGTAGGACTTGGGTTGTATACATACTTACTCTCACGTTAAAATCATCTGTGTGTGTTTATTGTCTAAAAATTGCAGTTGGGTTAATGACCCATATTCTAAGCATATCTGAACATGTCATCTTCAGGGGCTGCTAGTCTTTATTAGAGAGTGTTACCATATTAAAAAGCTTATTATAATATAAAATAAACCCACATAAATCATCAGCATTTCTATATATTACTAACAAAGGCCAACAGCAAGAGATAGAAACATAAATTCCATTTAAAGTTACTGTAGACATTATAAAATATTTAGAAGTCTACTTGCCAAAAGAAACTCAGGAATTACATGAACACAAATACAAAATATTTTACAACAAATAAAGTCAGATCTAAATAATTGGAAAAACATCAGTTGCTCATGGGTAGGCCGAGCTCATATAATAAAAATGACAATTCTACCTGAACTAATTTACTTATTCAGTGCCATACCAATCAAACTACCAAAAATTATTTTATGGAGCTAGAAAAAATAATAACAAGATTCATCTGGAAGAAAAAATGGTCCAGAATATCAAGGGAATTAATGAAAAGAAATACTAGGGAAGTGACCTAGCTGTTCCAGATCTTAAATTGTATTATAAAACAGCAATCATCAAAACTACTTAGTACTGGCTAAGAAATAGAGTGATGGGCTGAGCAGCAGGCATGATGTCTGGTGATAAGGGTGTTAAGAAGAAGTCTCTGAAGAAGTCCAAGAAACAAACCAAGGAAATGGATAAGGAAGATATAGATTTCAAACAAAAACAAAAAGAAGAACAGAAAAAACTGGAAGGGTTAAAAGCAAAAGCTGCTGGGAAGGGACCACTTGCCAGTGGTGGGATTAAGAAATCTGGCAAAAAGTAGATGTTCTTGGGTAGATAAAATGATGATTCCCATTGGTTTCTTTCTTGCTTTGTGACATCTGCATTTCCTACTTCAACATCTATAGCAGCTTGCAGCCAAGATTAAGTGTTATCTTAATGTGTTTATTGTACATTGTAATAAACTTAAAAAAAAAAAAGAAAGAAATAGAGGGGTGGATCAGTGGAGCAGGTTAAGTACACAAGACACCATAGTCAATGACTACAGTAATCTACTGTTTGATAAATCCAAAGACTACAGCTTCTGGGATAAGAACTCGCTATTTGACAAAAACAGCTGGGAAAACTGGAAAAGAGTATGGCAGAAACTAGGCCTAGACCAACATCTTACACCATATACCAAAATAAAGTCAAAATAGGTACTTGATTTAGATATAAAGGCTGATACTACAAGCAAAGGGTGAGGGCAAGGAATAGTTTACCTACCAGATTTATGGAGAACAGAAGAATTTATGACCAAACAAGAGATAAAGAACATTATGAAATGCAAAATGAATAATTTTTATTACATTAAAAGTTTTTGCACAAACAAAGCCAATGCAACCAAAATTAGGAGGGAAGCAGAAAACTGGGAGAGAATTTGTACAAGCAGTGTTTCTGATAAGGGCCTCATTTCTAAAATATATAGAGAACTAAGTCAAATTTTGTAAATACAAGTCATTCCCCAATTCATAAAAGGTCAAAGAATATGAAAAAATGTTCTAAATCACTATTGATTAGACAAATGCAAATCAAAACAACTCTAAGGTACCACATCACACCTATCAGATTGGCCAACATGACAAAACAGGAAAATGATAAATGCTGGAGAAGATGTGGGAAAACTGGAACACTAATGCATTGTTGGTGGAGTTGTGAACTATTCCAACTATTCTGGAGAGCAATTTGGAACTATGCCCAAAGGGCTATAAAAATGTGCATACCCTTTGACCCAGCAATAGCACTTCTAGGGCGGTATCCCAAAGAGATCATAAAAATGGGAAAAGGATCCACATGTAAAAAAATATTTATAGCAACTCTTTCTGTGGTGGCAAAGAATTGGAAATTGAGGGGATGCCCATCAATTGGGGAATGGCTGAACAAGTTGTGGTATATGAATATAATGGAATACTATTGTGCTATAAGAAATGATGAGTAAGTGAACTTCAGAAAAACCTGGAAAGACCTGTATGGACCGATGCTGAGTGCAGTGAGCAGAACCAGCAGAATGTTATACAGAGTAACAGTTACATTGTGTAATGACTAATTTTGATAGACTTAGCTCTTCTCAGTAATGCAAGAATCTAAGACATCTCCAAAAGTCTGATGATGGAAAATGCTATTCACATCCAGAGAAAGAGCTATAGAGTCTGAATGCAGATCAAAGTATATACTATTTGCTCTTTTTTTCTCTTCCGTTTTGTTTCTTCTTTCTAGCAGTTCTTTCTATTGGTTCTAATTCTTCTTTACAACATAACTAATGTGAAAATATGTTTAACAGTAATGTATATGTAGAGCCTATATCAAATAGTCTTGGGGAAGGAGGTGGGGAGGGAAGGGGAAAAATTTAAAACTCAAAAGCTTATGGAAGTGAATGTTGAAAACCAAAAATAAATAAATAAAATTTTTTAAAAAGCTTATTATAAACTTATTTGTTTCTGGAAGTCCATGTTGTCTTTAGCATAATTTTGGTATCCTAACATTCCTTAATGAAGAATAGTCCCCAGTATGCTTTTATTTATCATCTGACCCAATCTAAACCATTAGAGTACTCCTTTACTGGAGTTTAACACAGTTAGAACCTAGGTATTTGCTACTTTTACAGTAGGATATCAATAAAATTTGCACATGAAGACAAAAAGATAAATGTTTGGCAAGTATGTTAATTTTAAATTATTTATTTTAGCCTCTATTAGTCATTGAGTCCTGACAAACTCCTATCACAGATTTTCAGACTAATGTATACTGCTGACATCTCGTAAGTTAATTAACAAGCTGAATCAACAGTCTGTGAAAATAGTCATTAAACACTAGCCTAAGTGACCTACGTTCCAAGAAAAACAAACGCCATCCATCGATACCAAAGCATGACAACCACTCAGACAGGAAGGTTTGCTATAGTCTATGGCTTAACATATACAGGGCTGCCAGTGACACATGTGGGGCCACCCCTGAGTGTACTCAAACATAGAATGCATTTCTAAATGGATGTACTGGGGATCATTTGTAGGAAACTGACCAGAAGTTCTACCTACAATTTTGCCCATAATGAGCTCAATAACTATTATAAGCATTCTGGGGATCAATAAAGTAAATACAACAATAAAAAAGTGCTTACTGAGCAAAGGTTTTGTCTATGAGATCCACATTGTTGATTTTTATGATGCATTCATTTTCATGAAATAGTCCATCCCGTTTAGACCTGCTGTTTTCCTCAACACCCCGGATAAAGAGCCCTAAAATTCTGAAATACAAAGAATAAAGGGCAAAATAAAATCAGAGTAATCACGTGTAATCCATGTACAATTATTCCAAAATAAGTGCCCATCCAAAGTAATGGTGACTCTTACCTACTTCACTACTGTTTGAATCATAAGTTAAATGGGAGAGTTTACAACAATAACAACAGACGTCTTTAGTGAAACAAGTATTCCAAGGATAATACACATTATACCAACCAAGAGAGAATTAATCTGTGACCTCATTTCTAATGTTTCCAGTAACTCAGCAAAGGCTATTAGGTTTTAGTGGAATTGAAAAGACAAGACTCACTTGTTTGGGATAGTAACAGATAGCTTCCTATAATGAGTGAATCAGAGAACAGAGTCAAGCTAGCAACTCTTCATTGGGAAAAAAAGAGGATGGGTTGGAGCTTGAATTTTTAAAAAAAATCACATTTCCTGAATTTCCTTTTATACCCTGTACTAAAAACTACAGACACACACACACACACACACACACACACACACACAGAGGCTGGCTGAAATGTATCTAGTTTTATTTTAATTAAATGTAGATCAAATGTTTCATCATTGGCATGGGGGTAACTGAGTTTTCAAAGATTCTATCAGTGAAGTCCAAGTCCTGGTAGGTTCTATCAAGTGGAAAAGGCTACAGCTATGGGCTCAGTAACCCAGTGTCTGCTGTCCAGGGACCAGCCCAAGTGCAGAGTTGCCATATAAGAAAGCTGGTTGCTATAAGATCAGAGTCTATAGGATGGATGAAATTAAGTAAGTGGTACTATTCCCCTGTTATCAACGACAGGAAGCAAATGTCATTTGCTGTCAGTCCTTAAACCAATAAAATTCATCAGTTTCATTATATTTTACAAAAATTACCTTTGATACCTATTTAGTTTATAGTTAAGCATGGTTCTGTCAATAAATTATTCTTAGAAAGTTATGTGTTTTAGGTCAGTAAGGTACACACTGCATATAAAAAGTGCAATGTATTTACTCAGTGGGTTACAGTGTCTTGTGACCCAGACAAAAGTTAAAGCACTGACTTAGTTTTAAATTCTCTCTTTTTGGATATGAATTGTATTGATTGTATTTGTAATTGATTGTATCAATTGGGCATTTACTAAGTAACACAATTTAGTGTTTTTTGTTTGTTTGTTTGTTTGTTTGGCTAGGCAATGGGGTTAAGTGACTTGCTCAGGGTCACACAGTCAGTAAGTGTTATGTGTCTGAGGCTGGATTTGAACTTAGGTCCTCCTGAATCCAGGGCTGGTGCTCTATCCACTGTGCCACGTAGCTGCCCCTAAGTAACACAATTTGGAAGGACAGAGTCAACCCATATGAAACAACCGCTTTATAGTTTGTTACAGTCTATAAGTTATATAGGAATTCAGAGAAGGATGGATCAATGAATGCTTGGAGTCCTTATGAAAGGCTTCAGAGGGAAGGTGAGAATTAAGCTACACACTGAAAAATCTATACAATTTGTGATAGGTAACATGGAGTAAGGGGAAAAAAGAGGAAGATCCAGGTGAGGGAAAAAACATAACCAAAAGTACAGAGATACAAATTATCATGGCAGCACAGTATAATGGAAACAGTGTTGAGTTTGATGTCAAATGATGTAGGTACAAATTTCCTTTCAGTTGTGTGACCTGTGACAAGTTACTTAATCAATTTTCTCATTTATAAATTAAGATGGGTGGTTCAAATGACCTCTGAGGACCCTTCCAGCTCCAAATCTATGATCTGATTATACCATTCAATTAAACTATATGGTTGTAGGATAATAAGGAAACTAGGCTGATGAGTGGGCATGGGTGGATATTGGGCAAAAATAAGGCAAAGGATTGAAAGAAGAGGGTAGAGCCAGATTAAAACAAGGCACAGGAAATACAATTAATTTAATAGAAAATAATAAGTACTTGAACGTTTTTGAGTAAGGAAATGATACTATAAATTCAGTACCTTAGCAAATGTATTTTGCCTTTCTTTGTATCCCAAGAAGTGGCATGGTACCTGGTTCATAGTAGGTACTTAATAAATGCCTGTTGAATGATTAGTCTGGCTTTCTTATGTAGACTTTAAGAAAAGACTGGAGTCAGAGAGAACAATTGGGACTGAGAAATTGCGATAGGAACGCGAAAGACAATGAACAGGAGAATCCAGGTGTTATTTCCAACTGTTGAATTTTATTAAGAAGAAAGAAAAAAAAGTAATAAAATTGTACATATTTCCATTCGTTTTTTTTTGGGGGGGGGGATTCTGTTCTCCCAATGTGACAGGATCCTAATTGTAATTCAATGTAAGGGAAGTATTTTCATTTGCCCTATCCAGATCTATAAGCAGAATTCTAAAGCATATAGATATATTATAAATGTGGCTTTATTTGTGTATGTGTGTGTGTGTGTGCATGTGCATGTGTGTGTGTGTGTGACAGAGAGAGAGAGAGAGAGAGTTTGTAATTTTCTTTTATACAATGTGCTTGGTGGGATATTACAATGGTTCCTTTTTTCTAAATAAAAAATATAAATAAAATATGAGTGCTTTTTATGAGAGAATAATATGGTCACAAATGGAAAAAGGGCAGCCTATAATGAAAGTATAGGTGAAAATGTAGAGCTCCTGTTTGGATTAGCCCCCAAATATTGAGCCACTGCCTCAAGGGGTTAGTAGTTTAATTAGTATAGACATTCTGTACTCTTGAATGGACAGAGCTCATGAAGTGATATTTACTGGAATGTCTCCACTGCAAAAATGCTCAATGAATACTACATGATGATGAAGTGGTGTTACAGTTAATAACAGAGCCTAGTCTATGGAAAGCTCAAGGTTGCTAGTTTACAAAGAGAGATAAAAGTTGCAAAAATTTAAAGTTCTAGAAAGTTAGTGAATCCACCCAGAATATTCACTGAAATAGAAAATTGGTGTTAGATTTGCTATTTGAAGAAAGATCTAGGATTCAAGTGAGATTTAAGGTACTTATAGGGCACTGTGAAAGCAGTCCGCACATAATTTCCAAAACAGAATATAGTATTAAAAGAATTCAATATTAACTATAATGATAAATAGTACAATGTTTACTATATAACATAAAAGACATATTATGAACCTGTCATTAAATATTAATGTTTATTAAAAATAAAGACCAGAATATGGATTATTAATCGGAAAGCATTTTATTTTTTTCAAAATCTGGATTTCTAGTATAGTGAGTTCATGAGAACAAATATATTATGGGACTCACACATATTTCTAAACCACAATTTATATAAGCAAGTATTTTGTTAACAGTCATCCCAAATCTTCTTTTAACTTAATTCTGCCCAACATCAATCATGTAAAATTACTTTCTAGAACTTAGTTTGATATTTTTGTAGGTGAATTATTTTTTCCAGGCCATAGGGTTTAGCATTAGTTAATAGATCATAGCTTGTCATGTGTAACGGGGACCCTACCAATCTGAAAAACCTAACTTGCTATGAAGAATTTATTGACAGAACATGTCTATATATGAAATGCTTTTATGTAAAAGTTAATTTTATGTAATTTAACACTGATGGATATTATTGGCTTGGGGACTGATATCAGACGACTTCTGCTCTCTATATTCTGCTGCAAAGGCAGAGAACTCCTGACAATTTCATTCAGTCAAAATGGTGAAAATACTTTGGTAACTGCAGGTGTACCACAGGGGATAATCCCCTCACTATGGATGGGTGTAGCTAAGTCATTCAGAACCAAGACTCAAGCATGGTGATTTATCAGCTAATTGCAATGTCAAATCACATAAATTATCAATAAATTCAGTTTAATTAAACAAATACCTAAGGGCCTACAATTTGTAAAATATTTACTACAAATATGAAAGATGACAGATCCCTGCCCTACATCAGCTTACAGAGAGTCCACAGTTCAAGAACAGTTCACATCCACTAATATTCACCATAGAACACTGTAAGCCCAAACTATGTGATATGTTTCTATCTGTGTTTTTCTTCTCTTTATTTCCAGTCTGTTTTCTTTTATCCTTTCATGTATCTCTTACCAAGCCCTTGGTCCTTTCTGACTTCTCTTTGTGTGTCTTTCTGTCTCCTCCCAAATTTTCCTTCCTTCCTTCCTTCCTTCTCTCCCTCCTTCCTTCCTCCCTCTCCCTTTATCTTTTATTACTTTATCTCTTCTCTTTTTTCCTACTTTCTAACTTGCTCTACTTGAAATATATACACACATACACAGACAACTGTTATTATTATTTGTTGATAATTTAATTGTACAAATTTTCTCTTTTGTGTTCTTGACTTTAAAAGGTGAGTTACATGTGTTTTATCAAGAGAAGAAAAAAGAGGCCTAAGTTGCCTTTAATTTGTGAGTAGGCCTCATTTTAAGTTTTTTTTTCCTTCTGAAGGTCAGTGATCCTGGGAAATAAAAACAGAAAAAAAAAATAAACCATTCACCACCCTGTCATATGCTATGTCTCACTAGATCTTAATTATTAAACCACTGACTAGTAAAGAAGACTCCTATTTATAATTAAGTATTCTATATTAGGTTAAAATGTCTCATAATAGGTATAGTCACACTGTGTTAAAGATTAGAAATTGGGAAGCAAGAAAAATAAAGACAATACATGGATTAAATTGCAGTCATAGTCAAAGTGTTAAATATAAATTCAATTTGAATTAATAATGCAAACCAATAAAATGGAAGGAAATTAAGAGCTAAGTCTTTCATTCTGACCTTAATTCACCCTACCATTCCCAAACAGTGAAACCATATGGTATTATAAAGTCAGTCACTTGTTTGACATCTTTCTATGTATTGAGACACATGGGTTGAGTTAAGTATGCTTTCTCAGGCTGAACTCATTATTCCTTAACTTTTATTGGTTCATGTCTCCACTTCTACATTATTTTAATGTGTTTTCTAATTAAATTTCCTTTCTATAATACTAGTGGATAGTCTAAAGAAATGGCAGAACGATTCTACTGAGTTATTGAATGGAAAGGTACCCATTCTCTGCTTATCAGCTTATGAAACCATATTTGTGGTACAGTTATTTTGAAAGTTTTGGCAAGATATCATTTCTATTCTAGAAAACCAAGAATGCAAAGAGTAAACTACAGGAGCCAAATATTTGTAATCTCAGTCTTTTATTTTATTTTTCCCATTTAAACAATAGCATACACTGTGGGAGGATGATTTACTGTTCTATAGTATAAACTTCTCCATGCAACTGTTGAAAATGAAGCATGTTCACTATCACATGGCACATTTCCTCAGGTTTGCCTGAAATGGAAAGTTCATGTGCTATATTCAAGTTTTATTAAGTTAAAAGAACTAGTAATTTAACCACATTCGTAGTCCCAAAGCTGTATCAGTACACTCCTGCCAAAAACCATTCCAATTTCTCAAGACAACTCGGTAAATATTCATCCTGTCTGTCAAAAAAACAGCTTGTTCAGTGCCATAACCCATAATGTTTATAAACAAGGTTATTAACATGCACAGGGAATGAGCCAATGAGCTCCACCAACTTTTCAGTTCATTTCTTTTTAAGGGGCATTCATCTCCATGAGAAGTTGGCATCAAATGAATTTGCAAAAAGGTGATGACATGACAATTACAGGTAGCAGATGGCTACCTGCAATACCCAATGCCAACCCAAATATCAGTGCTAAATCTGCACTTGCCAACCATGGCAGACTGTATTGAGTAAATACTCATGGGCAGTCAAGTAATGTTAAATAACCTTACAAGAAGATTGTTGCGGTGGAAAGAACTCTGGACTGGCATTCAGTAGACCCGAGTTCTAGTCCTGACTCACAAAGTTATGAGATCTATAACTCTGCTGCTGTGTGGTTTTTCAGTCATGTCCAACTCTTCATGAGCCCTTTTGGGGTTTTCTTGCCAAAGTACTTTGGTTTGCCATTTGTTTCTCCAGCTCATTTTACAGATGAGGAAACGAGGAAAATAGGATTAAGTGACTTGCCTAGGGTCATACATCTAGTAAGTTCTGAGGCTGGATTTGAACTCCCAAAGAAGAGTCTTACTGACTTCAGGCCTGGTGAGCTTATACACTGCACCATCTAGCTGCTCTTTCTATAACTCTAGAAGGGAACTTAAAGACGATTAGTCTAACCACTTAAATTTACATAGGAAGAATCTGAGGCTCAGATGTACTCAGTGACTTGCCCAGGGTCATACTGGTAGGTAAGTAGTAGAGCCAGGATTCAAACCCTGGACGTCAGATTCTAAATGTCATGTTTGTTCTACTATAACTGCCCTAATTAGTAGTGTAACCTTGGGGCAAACCATTTCAAGTCTCTAGTTTTAGCTTCATATAGAGATGAAGGAGTTCTATTAGATATTTAAAGTCCTTTCTAGCCTGAAAAATTATATGATTCAATGACTCACTTTTCATAGCTTAAGAAAGTTAACCAATTAATGAATCTCGTGCAATGATTAGAATATAAAATGGATTTCGAAAAAAAATGGACTTTTCATGTCAATTTCAGTTTTAGGGCTTGAGGCAGTCTTGTAATAGGGAAAAGTGATGTCATTTCTGCATCCAGTAATTTTGAGACTCTTAGTGTGTTTTTTTCATATTATCTCTTAGGGCACACATTTCAATTTCTACCCAGGGAAAACTTTAACATCTATGTTAGGTGTATAAGAAAACATCCTGGAAATGTTGACATAATATTAATGACCATATATCAATATAGATTTAGCAATAAAATGGGCTTTTGGCACCTCAACTGCCTATAATACATCATTTTCAATGGAATTAATTTTATTTCAAAAGAGCAATTAATGTTATGGCTGTATTTTGCCATGGTAGTTAAAAATCTACCAAACATGAAAATAAAATTGCATCTCTACTTTGCCTATAGCAGGAACTACAATGATTCCTACCAGAAATTTTGAACAAACCCCTTTCTATTATTTCCATTTTCTAAATATTAGATGTTACTTGACCATGTAAACTATGATCATAGAGGATGTATCAAGTTAGGTTTTCACTTTGCATCCATTTATTGAAGTGTGTTTTGGTGAATAATGACATTCTGATGGGATGTTTGTCTAGTAATACAAGGAAATGGTAAAATATTCACTAGGGAATCTTCTTATTTAACAAGTCTGCTGCAGGAATGCTTCAAGGAAGCCGTTCATAATTAATTTTAAGTGCAGAGACCATGATTGATTTTTTTTAACCCACATCACATAAGTGGACTGTTTTTATTTTGTTTCTAACATGTAAGTAGCATAACAAAGTGGTCAACAAAGGAATATGTTGAGGCCTATTACTGAGTAATAGAGATGCACACTTAACCCTCTTCTGGAAAATGTTTCAGAAAATGAACTCAATCGAGCTTTTTTCATTAACATGGGTTTCTGAAATAAGGAAAACATCTTACCTTCCACTCAGCGATGAAAAGAAGGGTACTACATGTATCCCCAGAGGGCCACCTTCCCCAGAAATCTCCACTGTTCTTGTCATATCACTGAGATAAAGAAAGCAAGAGCACAGATGAGTCTCTGTTCAAGAACAGCTGAAGTACATACCAAAAGAAAAGAAAAGAAAAGAAAATACCTCCCATTCATACAGCCAAGGAAAAATAAAAATAGTAAATGACTTGTTGGGGGCATGCAGAAGAGGTTGCCACTAAATATGTTTAAAGGAATATTTGATTCTTGATTTTTTCCCCATCCAGGAGAACAACTGAAAATGACTACCCATCAAAATAATGTCCTCCTTCCTTCAATCTGCATAAATCAACATGTTTAAAAGTGTTCAAGTGATGCTAGAATACATACATTTGAAAATATATATTTCATGAAATACATGTAAACCATAATGCATCTGATTATTTTAAAAATCAAGGAGATTTTTTCCACTCAAAATAGAAGAAAAAGAAGGGCAAAAGGTATATTATTTAGCAAAGAATGCATAGGACTAATTTTTTAAAAAATCTGTAGTCTTAGTAATATGTGCTAATTATCTTTAAAATATTCTAGATAAAGAATTAAATTTGTTTTTAAAGAAAGCACCAGGAACCCAAGGAAGATATCCCCCAAATTATCCTTTTTTCTTTTTAAAGACAGAAAAAAGAAAACAGAAGTGACATGAAAATATATTCTTGAAAGAAATAGAAATCTTGACCTACCTAACCCACAATAGATTACGAAAAGGAGATGCTAGCAACACCAATGGAAAGTGTGCATAACTGAAATACATGTACATCAGTTACTCCTTCCTAGGCAAAGGTAACTTATTTCCTGAGTAATAAAGAGCTTAACTAACAGACTTCTATCAGCATAATAATAATGGACAATTAATGCTACTTCAGCCATACAGATAACAAGTATAAATGCCATAAGAAAAACGCCAAAGCATAAGAAGATATTTACAACATACAAATAGCTAGCAGGACACTATTGCATCCTATCTACATGAAAATGACTTTAATTCCAAACTACAATTGCTATAAATGCTTTTCTCATCCAAATTGAAAATGGTAGAATTCTGGGTTTTTTTCTGGAAAGTTAGCAAAAGTATTAAAAGGGTATTTTGTGTGAAGTCCTTAATGACTTCACTAGGCATGAAATAGTCTCTAAATTACCAGTAATCTAATATGACTATATTAGCTATATTCTGTCAAGCAGAATGTTTATTTTTCTTGTTATTTTTCTATGTAAACCTTTTAAAATCAAGCTTTTCAAAAGGAGTATGTCAATTCCCAATGAGTGTAGAGAGAGGATGAAATTCCAAAGCTAGTAATAAATTCCAAATGAATAGTACCACACAGATACTGTCATTACTTGAAACTTGTTCAGTCAAGTAGCCTACGTCAAAAGCCTTGAATTAGAGAGCTCAGACACATCTTCACATGGATAAAATGATATTTCGGGGTATATAAAACTCAATCATTCTTGCTATGTAATGTTGAAAATGGTAATTGTTAGTTGTTCATATAATATAAAGAGAGAGAAAATATTAAAAATCATAAAGTATCACTTGGAAATGTCTCCATTCCCCTGATTTTACAGCTATCTAGAGAATGGAATGTGGTTTTTGATAAGCCAGTAATCAATCCTTTTAATAGAATCACAGATTCATAATTCAGGATGGTACCTTAGAGATAACATCTAGTCCTGGGGGCTGCAGAGAGGACCTGGGAGACAGCTTAGCTATTACAAGGGTATAGTATGCAGTTATGAATTTTCTCAAATGATAGATAAAAATATTCTAGATACTATGATGTAGTAATGTATAACTATTTTTGTTTCATTACAAAGAGGTCTTCATACTCAAAAAGTTTGGGAACCACTGACCCTGTCAATTTCTCAGCATGAAATGCAGAGTTTGAGGATAATGACAGTGTATCCCATTTTCAATGATCACCAGGATTAGGAGCCTGCTTTATCCTGATAAACCGTATTTATGCCTAACAACCCAGAGTTTCTTATCTTTAGTATTTCCAACATTTTACTTATTTGTATATGTACAAAGAGAATAAAAATAATGTTTCACATAATCTACTATTAAATTCCAGATATTATAGATATATTATACATATATATCATATGTCCAGATATACTGTATATAGTATACCCTAAATTGTGTTAAGAAAATGGATTTCTGCTTAATGCTTTGTACAAGTGGCAAAGAATAAAAAAATGCTAATCTTCTATAGGACAAAATATTCTCCAAATGATTTATAATCAAATGCTTTAATTAAATAAAACAAAACCCTCTATAACAGATACCCTTGTGCCATATTAATACTTAGCTCTTATCCTTTTTTGTCATATATTCTTTATATCAACTCAATATAAAAAGAAATAATCTTTGACCATGCCTGATTAGAATGAAGGCCACACTTGGCAACCATATTGTAGACAACCCAGAAAATGTCAACATCTCTTTGAAGGAGTAGACAATTATTATGAATGTTCCCAGAGGAACCCTAAATACGGATTTTGACCATATGAACACTGAGATCAGTCTTTTTTGATAGAAGGGAAAAAACTCTGGGTTGACAGGTGGTAGGGAATTTCAAAGGAAATTTGGATGGTTCACACAATATGTAGCTGTGTAAAACATGTTCAAAGACATATATCCTGGTTTTGTACTCACTTCCCCATCAATGTTATCGTTCAAGAGAATGGCTGACTGGTCAAAATTAGAAACTTTCATATGAAAAATATATTATCAAGGTATGCATACGACCTCTGGCTGTTTGTCCTTTAACTCCAATTCCAAAAGATGAGTTAATTCTTTAAGGAAAGGATATTAAACTCATGACTTTAATTCTTCAGTACTATGATATTCAATGATTCCTAGCCAAACAGCATCTCTGGAAGAGTACTGACATTAAAAAGATAAACTTTGTTTCAGAGACAACTTTGGGGTTACTAAAAGCACTGAGTAATTTTCAAAAGACAGTCCAGGCTGTTCTCCTCCTCCTGGTTAGTTCTAAGAGAAGCTCATTGCTGATCTGTTCCATCTGCCAAAGGCAGAGGTACTCACAGCCCAGGTCTTTGGAGTGTTCATCCAACTGTATATCACAGTCTGGACAAAAGGCATTCTTTGTTTGGTTGCTTGTTGATAGGTGGTTAGTTAAACTGAACTCTCTTTAAGTGATTGCAGATTTCAATTAAAAAACTCCGAAATGTCAGCTGCAAACAGGAGAAAAATCACATGATCTATAGGGAACCCCTTTTCCTTTAGACTGTGTTGGACATTCTCCATGACAATACCAAAGACCTTTGGCTAACACACATGTCCCCATTTTATGTCTTGCTTGATGTTAATAATCAGAAGAGTCAGAGTTATTTCTGTTACTATGTTTTTCAAGAAATTTTGTGTGATCGAGGCATAAACATAGGGGATATAACGTAGGAAGAGAGCCAGCAAGGATTTTTGATCTACTGAAATCCTGCCTCTTTCACCAACGGGTTCACTATTATCCTATCAGTCAATGGATATCATTAGTTCAAAGCAAAGGAATTTAGTGAAACAGACTAATAAAAAGTTTTGCAATAGAGCATTTACCTCATAAATATAGGACATGTTCTCCCACAAATATACACACCATCAGTGGGAAGAATTGTTAAGTAATAGAGACCATACATGAGGGGCCCACACTTGGGGAAATATAGGGGGGAGCAATTCCCACCTTTGATTTCTAGAGGACCCAAAGTTTTCTGGTGACATCATAATACTGTCACACTTTAGCCTTCTTCATCAGTGGGCATAGCATGCCTGATGGCCATGTTATACTATTTGGTTTAATGGATCTATTGCTTGTTAGGCTTGTTATTTCTAAATGTGCTGGTTTTTTAGTCTTCTATGATTCCCATATCTTAGGGGCCACATTAGCTATCTTGGCTTCACTCTTCTAGGGTATAATGATTAAATATGTCTCAGTACTATGGGCAAGCTGACAGCTATTTGGCCTTAGTTATCAAACTTATATGATAAAAACCAATCAGAGAATCTCTAGGAATAGTCTGGGTCATTCCTCATCTCCTATTTCTTCAATAGCTATAAAAGTCTTCTTACTATCATCTAGTTTAGGGTCAGATAATCTGACACACCCTCAAGATTCACTCTGGCTAAGGTGCAATTAAACTGAAAAAGAAAAAGGAAAGGCTAAAGAGGCAAAACCAGCAATATTCACTGATCTAGAATGAATTCTTGTCTCTTTTCTAAATAGCTATTAATAGCAAAGACTAATAGATTGGTGGGATATTTTGGCTAGCCAAAACCTCAGTCTCTTGAATTCTAACTTGGTATTGATTTTGATTTTTGCTCTATAAAGCTTATACTCTTAACACACAAGTTATGTGGAAACAATTTCCACATCAACACAACCAACATTTTCTGCCTGTTAAAATGTAATCAATTTAATTTTTGGTGATTTTCTTTGGTAATAGTCTAACACTCTTCTTGAAGAATCAATTCTAGCTATACACAGGGAAGCATCCTTGTATTTTACAAGTCTTTCACATCTCTTTATTTCTTATATTTGCTGTGCTCTCCTAAGCTCATCTTTTCATTTAAAGTGTCAGAGTATTAAACACACACACACACACACACACACACACACACACACTTAACTTGGAGGGTCTTGTTAAATTCTTTGTAGAATTTCTCTAATCTTAATCCTCTGCAACAAATGTTGGTATATAAATTGTAATCAATAATAAGCAAATGCTTTCCATAGAAGCACTGCAATAGAGACAACTGAGTGTTTTGGGAAAGGGCTGCATTTGAATTCATAAAATGCACATTGCTTCCAGCTCTTTTTTCTCTCTAAGAATTTGTGAGCCATCCTTACCCATTTAGACGCAACTTCCTTTTGTCTTCTGTATCATAACTAACAAAAATGTCCAAATTCATATAATTACCCCGGTAGCAATTTGCTCACATTGGTCATTGCACAAGTATCTCACATTTATAGTACCAATAGGAAAGTTGATGTGAATAGATGGTCTA